AGCATCTTTGGTCATCCGGAAAATGCAGATCACAACAGCAAGGACTCAAAAAACAGCAAATGCCACAGAGATACTGAGGGGAAAAGAAACTTTCTCCACTGCTGGCAGGAATGTGAGCTAGAATAACACTATGGAAATCCATACAGAGCACTCTCGTCAAAACTAAAACTAGAATTTTCTATTAGCCCCAGCTACACCTAATTTGGGTATCTTCCTAGGGAATTAAAGTCACCAGACATCCATGCTAAAACAGCACAGTTCACAGTAGTTAGAAAAGTGGGCTCTGTGCCCAGCAACAGATGAATAAATACAATGTGGCATATATACACAGTGGCATATTATTCACCAATTAAAAATGATACATTTGAGGGCCATGGATTTATCTCAGTGGTGTCTCTGCCTGGCTCACGTTTCTTTCCTGTTTTTTTTAAAAAACTTGAGAAATTTAAATAATTTGTAGGAAAATACGTGGATCTTAAAATCATAATGGTAAGTGAAATAAATCACACAGGTTAAATATCATATTAAGGAAAGTAAAATCTAAAAATACCTAAGAGAAAAATGAGATAAGAGGAAACAGGGAGTAGGTGGGTGTTAATGGGAGGGGACCTCAAAAAGAAAGGGAGGTAGGGAGGAAGAATGACCAGCACGTGATGTGTACGTGGACCAGTTTCCTGAGGCGAATGCAATTGTTATATAACGCAAACACACACTCACAAAAAGAAAAAAACTACTTTGTTTTGTGTCTACCAGCAATTTCAGGTAGATCTAACAACCGAAAATTGTTCAACGCAATTCCTCACCTCAACTAAAGAAAATAAACCTTTCCGGATTATCTTAATAAGAATACACCATTTTATACCTCTGAACACATTTTGCATGAATTAATATATTCTACAAAATTAGTATCAGGTGAGGTCCTCCTGATTAAAAATGGTATCCATGAAACTAGAGTGGTGTGGGTGAAAACAGAAAGGAAAGTCTTCCAATATTTTTCTCCATTAAAGCTTTGAGAAAACTGGCAAAAGTGATCAGAAACAGTGTTTTCCAAAACCTGGAAATGACCAAAATTTTGAAACAACCTGTGGAGCATTTATTTGAAACACGTGTATATTGAGGTTTTTACAAAAACAGGGTCAATGGCGCAGATGGCATCTTCCCCTTGCCCTAATCCCAACCATTTCCTCAGCTTCACATTTGCCCCAACGTCTGACAGCCCACGGTCATGGGCAGAAAGAACAGGAGCAGCCCGCAGTGACTGGGGTCAGCTCAGCCCGCAGCCAGGGCTCCTTCCACACTCACCCCAGGAGAACCGTCCTCACTGCTCCATCAGCACCTTCTCTGGATCCCTCTCCCTCCAGGGCGCACTCGGAGCTGTTTCGAACGTCGCTAACTCTGAAGGGCCTTTGCGTGGAGGCCTTTGCTGTGTACAAGCAGAGGCAACTCTTCATCATCACACGACCCAGAGGTAGAGGACAGCTTGGGACAACACTAGTATATCCAGAGCATTCAAAAAGAAAACCAGGAGAACGACATCTCGAAGGGGCCTTGATGAGCTCTGACAGACTCCGAGGAGCCTCAGAGGCTCTGCACGTACAACGGGCCCCGTGTGTGCTCCACGGACCCGAGCAGACTCTGGGCTCTCACCTCTGGCTGACTGTGAAGATCCAGGGTTCACACAGGAAGTGAGGGGTCAGGCAGAGCTGCCTGCTGTCAGGCTGAGGGTCGGAGGCACAGCCGCCAAGTATGCAAAGGCCCTCAGCAGTGACAGGAGGATGTAAAGTATTGATCTGAGGAGTTTAAGAAAATCTCTGTCTATTAGCCTAAATTATTAGTAGTTTTATTAGTACTAGTGTTACAGAAGGAATCAGTAAGTGACACCCAGAGAGGCAGCAGAATGGAAATAACAAATTTACTTATCGATAAGGGTTGATCACACATAAGCTGTGCCTGGATCGACCACACACTGGGTTACAGCTCCTCCTTTTATAGGGTTTCACAGCCTTGACTTCATTTGGGTGGTTACATTTCATTCTCAGTTCAAATCACAGTCACAAAATAGTTCATCTTTTCAACCCAGACGTAACGGTTCTTTGCTGTTGGCGAGTTTACCTTTAAGATTCACCTAGTTATCTATTCTAGCCCATAGGAAGGGGGTGCTCAGGGTCACGGGAGCGAATGTTGGCAGTGGTCCTTTTTATCTTGACACTTTCACCATCAGGTGGTTCAGTCTCTCTGGGAGCTCGAGACCTCGCTGTGCCCTGTTATCTCAGGGTGAGACCAAATCCAGTAATTAATTAGTGCCTCCGGTGTCTTGTTAGTTCTGAGCTAAACAGACTACCATTAGGGACAGCAGAAGCCTTTCTATATTATGACATTTCATAGGTTTTAGTTATTAATAAAAGTTTTCCCTATCAGTAGTGTGGGAGACTGACTGCAAGACAGCTGGCTGCTTGCATTGCAGTTCCCTGAGCGAAGGAGTTGTTATGTTGTAAGTTCTGATTGGCCGTGATCGGCTGCCATCTTATGGCATTATTTACAATAACTATTTTGTAGAGCTGAGTTTCGCTTTCCAGAAAAAGCACCTGTTTCTTGTAAATCATGTGTACTCTGTGAAGCCGTAATTGTGACCTTGTACAGTTATCCTTGAGATTGTTTTTCATCCTTGAAGCTGTTTTTACCTTCATATTATTGCCTGATATAAGTGTGAGAGCCGTCTGGCAGTAGTAGTAGAAGTAGTATTAGAAGTAGAAGTAAAAGAAGAATAAAGAAGAAATCTGTTTGAATCTGAGCATGACTCAGTGTGTTTACTCTCGGTGAATCCTCTCAGGTTTGGGGCCTGCTGGCAGGACCCCGACGTCGCGGCTCGCGACAAGTAGTAGTATTTGAGTAACCATATAAGCTAACTTAGCAGAATTACGTGAAAAGTCAAAAAACAAAAGGCAACAGCAAAGACCCAGTGAGGAAATATCTGATCTCCAAAGGTGCTACATTATGTTATTTGAAAAGTCGAGTTTTCACTTATAAAAGGACAAGGAAAGATGTGAGAAAATGTGCCCCCCCACACACACACACAGAAGGGAACAAGAGAGCTTCAGTTCAACACAGAAAGCCTGTTTCAAATCCTGGCCCGCTCATGGCAATTTCCAATGGGGGAGAATCTAAATAGAATTAATGAGAGCTGTATTTGAAATGTAAATTTGAAAAGTAAAATGCTAAAATTTTAAAAGATAACACAATATCTTCATCATGTTGTTCAATAAAACTCTAAATGTACCATTAATGAAATGGTGGGATTACTGGATTGTGAAAAATTACATGTTAAAGTAAAAACTGCAACTTCCCAAAGTCAACATGAAGAGAATAAAAGGAAAATAATAAACCAGAAGGTACAGGATAAAACATCCTAAACATATACAATTTTAGATACATCATCTGCTGTGGCTATAATAGTTTTTTTCCTCGTTCTCTTTTTTTACTGTGTATATAAAAGTGTACCTTGACTTAGTACAATCATTTCACCTGTTATGTATTATCTTTGGCCTATTAGTCTGGTTTTCAATCTGAATACATGATAAATAATTTTATAAGGTGTTAAAGGATAAATGAAATATTCTGATGTTATAAAGGGGGTAGCAGGAGAGGGGAAAATAAGACAGATGAAATGTGTCCTGTGCCTGCACCAACCCCCTACAGTGATTAGGTGCTGCAAACAGGTACTGAGAACACTGAAAAAGAAACCCCAAGCAGGCACAGACACTGCAGAGATGGGCACACACCCACCGCCCACCTGCAGGTGACATCCAGAGATAACGACCGCTGTGTGTGCCCTGCCGGTCGTACCCCCAGCACTCATATCCAGAACCCACACAAGCAGCACAAACTGACAGCGGGAACAAACACACAAGACTGGAATAGGCGCCACCTGACAACAAAGGAAAAGGAGCAGCACGTGTCTGAGACACAGCAGTCATCAAACACATGCAAATGTAAGGCATGAGCACAGCCAGGAGGATTCAGAAGACTCCAAGGATGGGGTCACGAGGAGACACTTGTGTCAGTGACGTGGTGCTACGCTGTCTAATTCTCCCGGTGTGTGAGCAATGGTTCCTCTTCCCTCAGACGCAACAATATTTACCCTACATTTGTACCCACAGAAAAGAATGATATTAAGAAATTATATCAGGCAATTAGCCCAATTAGCGCAAATATATAAATTTACATATTGAAAAATCTTGGATATCATTTCCTGTATCTAATTTTTCTCCATTTACAGAGCCAAGGTGTGCACACTGTGGGACCTATCACATTTACATGTAAGACACTTCTCGGATCTCACTTGAGGTCCTGAGGCAGCGGGAAATGCAGATGCACAGTGACCTGTGGATGGTTCCTGACACCCTGTGTGCAGCTCCTGCCTCTGCTTCCTGCCTGGTGCTGATGCACACGTGAAGAAGATGATGAAACCACCCTTTCCCTCTGTGCCTTTGAGAGAATGGAGAACAACACGGGGCAGGTGGACAGAGGTGGGTGGCTTGTTGCAGCCCTGAGTTGGTCTTTTCTGACTAATTGGCCTTGGTTGCACCAAAGTGGCTTTTTTTATTCATCACAAAAGGAATTGCTCAGAATCCTGAACATCTCATGGCACTTTGAAATGCACGTATAGCTAAAGGACAGAAATCAAATAAATGGCGAACCACAGCAGAAATTGTGCTGGCCATGACTCCTGCCTTTCTGATTTCAGGAAAAGGGCTCCTAAATAGCATTTGCAATTAACAAAAAGATCATGAACCTAGTTCAAAAACTTCAAAACACTCAGGGAACAACTTCCTTATTGACACTTCATCAATAACACAAATAACAACAACAACAACAAAATACAAGGAAGTCCTGCTTATTGGTCATTGGGAGTCCAGGATATAAAAAGCCCAGATGGGAAGAAACCTTCATATCCTGAGAAACTCACCTGTGACCAGGACCCGCCCTCCACACCTGACACCATGACCCTCTGCTGCTGCTCCCCCTGCTGCCAGCCCACCTGCTACACGACCACCTGCTGCAAGACCACCTGCTGGAAACCAGCCTGTGTCACCAGCACCTGCAGCGCCCCCTGCTGCAAGCCCTGCTGCTGCCCACCTTGCTGCAAAACCACCTGCTGCAGGACCTGCTTCAAGAAAACCTGTGAGACCAGCTGCTGCAGCTCTCCATGCTGCCCAACCAGCTGCTGTGTGTCCAGCTGCTGCCAGCCCAGCTGCTGTGAGTCCAGTGGCTCTGACCAAACCAGCTCTGGGTCTAACTGCTGCCCACCCTGCTGGCAGCCCAGCTCCTGCAGAACCACCTGCCGCACGACCACCTGCTGGAAGCCCACCTGTGTGACCAGCTGCTGCAGCTCCCCTTGCTGCCCACCCAGCTGCTGTGTGTCCAGCTGTTGCCAGCCCAGCTGCTGTGAGTCCAGTTGCTGTGACCAAACCAGCTGTGAGTCTAACTGCTGCCCACCCTGTTGGCTGCCTGCCTCCTGCAAAACCACCTGCTTCAGGACCACCTGCTGGAAGTCCACCTGAGTGACCAGCTGCTGCAGCTCCCCTTGCTGCCCACCCAGCTGCTCTCAGCCTTCTTGCTACTGGTCCGTTCCGCCAGATAAACCCATCAGCACGTGGCACTGACTGTATTCGCCTCCTAGACTCTACTGACAGCCAGTGTGCTCTCACTGGAACTGTCCACCTGTGTGACCAGTTGCTGCACCTGCCCTGCTTTCAGCCCAGCTGCTATGATTCTAGCTACTGCCAACCCACTTGCTGCCAATCAGCCTGCTCTGGACCTCTGTGCTGCACCCGAACCTGCTACCACCCCATGTGTGGCTGGCTACCTGTGTGACAGCCTCCCTCAGATCTACGGATCCTTGTGCTGCCCACTTGTCCGCTGCGGACCCTGCCATCTGTCACATTTGAACTCTCCATCAACTGCCTCAGGGCTTCCACTCAAAGGCCTCTCCAGCCTTTGACATCAGCAGCACCTGCTTGTCTTCTTGCACAGGGTCTGGAGCAGGTACTTGCTGAGAGACATCCTGCTCCTTGCCCCTTCCTCTCTTGTCTCTTCCACATGTTCTGCTTACCTGCTCTAGACCTTGAGTCATGTTTTCCTATGTAAAAAAAAATCATCTTATTTCTCTCTAAGCAAACTAAGAAAAACACTAGCAAACACTTAAGCCTTCTTCCTACTTCTCCCCATGAATGAATGACAAATGTTCAATACTTCTGAGGTTCAGTCCTTATCTCGGGGCCTGTTCTTTTCCCCATGAGCTTGCTTTCCATTGTCTGCCTGCTCACAAGGAACCTCTCCTCCTCGTTTTCAAATAAATCTGTACGGCACTGAATATTTTCCCGTGTCTCTCTTTTGTTCCATCAAAATTTCTTAGTCACAGTTTGCATTCAGACCACTTCGCACTTCTGTGCTCCCATGGTAGCCGCACAATGACCTCACAGGGTTTTAATCCAAGAGTATCTGGGGCTTCCTGAAGCTGAGAAGAGTTACCTGTTCTGTTGTGGCCCACTGCCCAGATCTTCTTACCTCCTCTCACAGGTTCCACACTTTATATCTTGAGCCAAGTGGAAGCAACTAAGCACTTGAAAAATGTGCACCTTGAGGGAAACAACATCCATATCTTTCACCCTGCACTAACATAAAATCAAATGAGCAGAGGGGCTGTAAGTGGGTCCAAGTCAGGGCCCAGGCTCAACTCCAGAAAAAGGCCTGCCTGAAGAAGTGCTGTACAGGAAAATAGCCAGAGGCCCCCACTGATACCGTTGGTAAGTGTGTGTGCAAACCTGAGCCAGAAGCCTGCTCAGACACCAGTGACTGGGGTGCACATCCCTAGCCAAAGGCCTCCCAGACAACAGCTACATAAGGAGGCTGGCCTCTAGCCAAAGCAGTCACAGATACATCCCAGTATGCACAGGCTGGAGCCAGAACCCTGTCTAGACAACAGGACAGCCCAGGGATGCAGAAGACCATCATTCTGAATCCAGCAATTGGTGTACTGGTAAGCAGCAGAGTAAAAGTTGCTCAATGGCTTCCTCAGAATTCAAGACCACTGGGTTAGCAAAAAGTAGCCTCAACAAAGGCACAGCAGGCTGCATCTGTCATAATGATGGGACTCAAAAACACATCTCAAAGCCAGACTTCCAGATCACCTAAGGCAACCTCAAAAGGCAATGAGATGGAACAATCTGACACTCAACCACCTGGACCTCCTATACTGGCAACAAAGAGGATCTGGAAAAAATGAAATCAGAAATAATTTCTCAGATAACAACAGAGATTATGTCCATAGTACAAGACATGATTAATAAATCTAGAGCAAACAGAGATAAAAAAAATAGAGGATCTGAGGAATATGATGGAATCCCAACATAGGAAACAAATGAATCCATAAAACAGATGTCACAGATACCAAGGAGATTAAAAACTCCATTGAAAGTTTATACAGCAGAAGGAGCAAATGTAAGACCAGAATTTCAGATGTAGAAAACAGGACTACCATTAGTGACCAGGAAAAGAAATTTTTCTTAAAAATACTAAGGGACCATGAGAAATCAACCCAGCAGCTTCAAGATGATGCAAACAAGAATATGCACATTGAGGCTATGAACTTAAGTGAAATTAATAAGTCACACTCATGTAATTACCAAATAGTTTCTCTGGTATAAAAAACAAAGTGTAAAAAAGGATGAAAATCTGTAATTAATATTGTGTAAAGGAAGATAAGGTCTAAAAGAGGAAAGGAAGTAGGGGAAAGGTAAAAGGGGATGAGAAAAAATAGGCGAAAAGGAAAAACATGGAAACAATGTCTTTGTAAACTGGGAAGGGTGGAGGGGCTGAAGAGAGGGCTGGGGAATGGGGGGAAATAACAACCAAGATAAGTCATGTAAAGGTACAAGATACCAGTGATGAATGTAACTGTATCGTATACCTAAAATGTACAAATAAACTTAAGATAAAGAGAAAAGAAAAAAAAAGTAACATAAGACTAATGAAAGTCAACAAAGAAACAGGACAGGGCTGGGGATTTAGCCACCACGTGCCTCACAAGCACAAGGTCCCAAGTTTGATCCCCGGTACAAAAAAAAAAAAGTGCAAATAACATAAAAAACTGTTCACAGAAGTAATGGCAGAAAACTTCCCAGCAGGGGAAAAGGACCTTACATACAGATAAGTGAGGCATATAGGGCTCCAACTAGCTGTAATAAAAAAAATATACCCCTAGCATATAGGTAAGATTTCAGAAACACAACAGAATAAAAATCTGTAGGCAGTTAGAGAAAAGAAACAAATCACATACATTAAAAAAATCAGACCTCCCAAGCTTAAGACCCAATCCAGGAATGGACAACTGAAATAAACAGATATTTCTCAGACATGAAAGTAGAAATAGCAAATGAACATATGAAAAAATGTTCAATATCACTGGTCACTCAAGAGATACAAATGAAAACAATGCTGAGATTTCACCTCACCCCAGAAAAAATGGCTGCTATCATGAAATCAACCAATAACAAATGCTGGGGGGAAAGGATGGGGGGGCTTTCTCCACTGTTGGTGGGAGTGCAGACTGGTTCGACCACTGTGGAAATCAGTGTGGAGATTCCTCAAAGAATGAAGATTAGAGGTCTCATTTCACCCAGCTATTCCCCTTTTGGGTATGTTCCCAAAAGAATTAAAAGAATCATACCACACCAATATATGCCCATGTTCATATGGCACAGTTTGTAATAGCTAAAACTTGGAAACAACCCAATTGCCCATCAATTGGAGCCTGGATATAGAGGATGTGTGTGTGGTTTTTTTTTTTTTTTTATAAAACAGAGTATTAGTCAGCCATAAAGAATGAGAAACTAGAGACATTTATAGCTAAATGGTTGCACATTGAGGCAATAATTTTAAGTGAAATAAATAGGACACACGTGTTAATACCGAATAGTTTCCCTGGTGTGAGACACTGAGTGTAAATAAGGATCAAAATTATAATACACAATGTGAAAGAGGAAAAAAAGGTGCAAAGGGGAAGGGGAAATGGGAGTGGTAGGGGAAAGGAAAGGAGGGAATTAAATTAATATAAGAAAATGCAAAAATGGAAACAAAGTCTTTGTAAATATGGAAGGGTGAAGGGGTTCATGGAATGGCAGGAGAATGGAGAAAAATAAAGAACTAAGATATATTTTGTAAGAGTACAAATTTCCAATGACCACTGTCATTACACTGATGATATAATGATATATATATATAATGATATGTTGATGGTATAATGATGAATGTCATTAAAGCTAAAATGTGCCAATAAGATTAGTCTTCCTCTAATGATAAATTTGAGTAATTGGTTGCAAAATATATAGATCTTGAGATCATAATGCTAAGTGAAATAAATCAGACACATAAGGTTAAATATCATATTAAGAAACAAACTATAAAAATATTTAAAGAGCAAAATGAAAGAGAGACGATAGGAAACAGAGTAAGTTTATGTTAGTGGGAGGGGACCTTGGGAAGAAGAGGGGGAAGGGAGGAAGAATGACCAGGACGTGATGTGTACGTGGACCAGTTTCCCAAGGTGAATGCAATTGCCATGTGACGCAAACACACACTCACAACAATAAAAAACTAAGTTGCTTTGCTTTCTACCACCAATTTCAGGTAGATCTAACAACTGAAAAGTATTCCACGCAGTTCGTCACCTTAAGAAAAGGAAATAATCATTTCATGATTAGCTTAATAAAGATATACAACTGCAAACCTTCGAGCACATTCTTGACGATTTAAAATAGTCTAGAAAATTAGCATTAGGCCAGCTCTTCCTGACTCCAAGAAGGACCCATAACATTAGAATGCTGTGAGTCAAAACAGCAAGGAAAGAATTCCAACATTTTTCTCCATAAAAGCATTAAGAAAACTGGCAACAGGGATCAGAAGCAGTAGTTTTAAAAATGTGGAAATAACCAAAACCTTGAAATATTCTGTGGAGCACTTATTTAAGAAAAATGTGTGCATTGTGATTTAAAGAAAAAAACAATAACGTGCCTTTCTGGCATCTTCCCCTTGCCCTAATCCCAACCATTTCCTCAGCCTCACACTTGCCCCAACGTCTGATATCCCACGGTCATGGGCAGAAAGAACAGGAGCAGCCCGCAGTGACTGGGGTCAGCTCAGCCCGCAGAAAATGTATTCTGTGCCTGCACCAATCCCCTACAGAGATTACTTGCTGCAAAACGGTACTGAGAACACTGAAAAGAAATCCCAAGCAGGCACAGACTGCAGAGATGGGCAGACATCCACCGCCCACCTAGAGGTGACATCCAGAGATAACGACCGCTGTGTGTGCCCTGCCGGTCGTATCCCCAGCACTCATATACAGGCAGAGCCCTGCTGTCAGGCTGAGGGTCGGAGGCACAGGCACCAAGTGTGCAAAGGCCCTCAGCAGTGACAGGAGGATGTACAGTATTGATCTGAGGAGTTTCAGGAAATTTCTACCAGCGAAAAATTATTGTTATGTGA